ACAAAGAAAACTGACGGAGTGGATCGGTAATTTGCTCGAACATAACCACATCACTGGTCTTACCTTTAAAGGCTTTAATCCAGTGACTGAAATATGGCAACAATTAAATGAGGAGGTAGCTTGACTTTCAGTAATAATCAATAGTTATACTTAGAAGTCCTTCATAATTCTTTTGAGAAGGGGAGAGAGGTGGGGAAATGGACCGGACTACAGTTACGTTGTAGAATCCGCGCATCCGGAAGGCGCTCTCCTGAAATCTCCCGACCGCAATTCGCGCTGCTTTAACCTTTTTGTTTCCTTTTTTCCTGAGACAGTTGCAAGAAACTTGCAACTAGAGGGGACTAACACCGAGCGATAACTTGAATGATAAAAATTATAACTTCAAATCGACTATATTTCGTTCCCTATACTATTCTTTATAACATGTTCAACTCTCGTAGCTTAACACCAAGTCACACAACGCGTGACGCTTTCATGAATTAATCGTTTGCTTTTTCTCGAGATGTGAGCTTAAGCCGCCTCTGTTGTCATCATTAAAGGACATTCTGCATGATAAATGAGTTTTAATATAGGATTGACTTTAGTTTTTGATCACGTGGTTGTGGAGACCATCAGTTTCTCAAATTAAACAATGTCAGGAGCCCATCTCCTGACAAAAAACTCGATAAGCTGGAAACCACTCCGCTTCGCGTCGTGGTTTCCTACGCTTATCTCGTGTTCTCCCAACCTCCCGCGTGTTTACATCAGGCTATGTAAACACGGAAACCATTTTACATTTCTTCAATGTGAAATTCTGGCGCTTAAACAGACATGAAAAAAATTTTTGCTCGTATGCCCATCTATCGCGTCCCATTTGGGTCGAAATTTTTCGAGTTAGTGGTCATATGATAAACTGCATATGAACTGAGTTTGGCTGGCTGGACAGGAAAAAAATTGGCTCTCGGTCATAAAGCAAGGACCTCGCTGCGCACCTACCACTCAATTAATAAGTACACAGTATTTCGGTTTTTACGTCACACTTTTATCACTTATGATGTAATTGAACATGAAAAATGAAAAATGAAAAGTGCTATTTTATTTTTAATGACGAACGTCAAGCGTAAGTGTTGACTATTTGAAAAGTTTGGTTTACATCATAAGATTGATCATAGTACAACCAAAGTTTCTTTTTTTAAACGGTAACCTATCTTTGCGTGATAATCGACTCCTTGTCCTTCTAAACTTTTTATATTCTTACGGGTGATACATTAACTACTCGTTTGCTTTTTCTCGAGATGTGAGCTTGGGCCGCCTCTGCTGACATCATTAAAGGACATTCTGCATTATAAATATGTCTTAATATAGGATTGATTTTAGTTTTTGGTTACGCGATTGTGGAAACCATGAGTTTCTTAAATTAGGGCCTGTTTACATGGAGGTGGGAGCCCCAGGTAGGTGAGGTAACCCGCCTAGCCGTGGTCGAAAAATAGAACGCTTTTACATGCAATCTTACAACCCCGGGGTGCTGGGGTGAGGTTTCTTGAGGTTGTTGTTGCGCTTGCAATTAAGGAGTTTGAGCAGAGGCGTCCCAAGCTCACATCTCGAGAAAGACGAAAGATTAATTCTCGGACACATATGTATTTATTCATGAAAGCGTCACGCGTTGTGTTACGCAGTGTTGGGTTTCGCGAGAAACCGTTGACTTAATACGTTATACGGAATAGTTTTGGAAACCAAATATGGTCGATTTACAATGCTAAATATTCCGAAATGTGAACATTTTACACTCCTTGTGTGTCCGTTACAGTTTCTGGTGATTTCTGCCATGGGAAGGCCAGGAAATGTACAAAGTTTTAAGACATACATGTTTCGCTTTTGAGCTTTTTGCCATAACCGCGACCCGGGTTACCCCACCTTGACACGTTTACATGGCAAATTGTCACCTCGGCTGACAGGGTTACCCTACCAGGCAGACCAGGCAACCAGCCTAGGCGGGTCACCCCACCTATCATGTAAACGTGATCAAAATAAATTAAGAAATTATATGGACAGGCGGGTTACCTCACCTACCTGGGGTCCCCCACCTCCATGTAAACAGACCCATAAACAATGCTGAACAAGCTTCGCTAATGAGGTTGAAAATACATTGTAGAAAACCTTAACGGTTTGAAGAAAGCCATTTGACGGTGGAGATATGAAGCATCCGATCAACGGAAAAGAACGCTTATACTATGTATGCAATAACAGTGAGTTTAAGAAAGTTTCAGTTTCTCTGGGAAAATTAAAACAGCTCTCTTCGTGAGCGCGCAGCGTCAAAACTTATCTTCTTATGGGAGACTCGGGCGCTTACGGCCTTTAGAAAAATATGTAACGTACCCGAACCCGCCGCTAATATCCAAAAATTTTAATGACTGGTATCTCGACCACGAAACACTTGTGTACAAGTAGAAAACGGAAATTCAATTCGAATCTGCCGCGATCTCTGAATCGATCGTTAAATCCTCCTAAAACAAAGTCAAGTTAATAGCTACATTTCAGGTCATAGCCAGTGGAAAACCACATAATGTAGCCGCTCCATAATGACTATGGATTTCCCATGATATCAGCGTGAGACAGTCCACACAATAAATAGAGGTCTGAAGTTAATTTTATGATCATCAATTTCTCAATTGAACGATACTCAATAACCTTAATTAATGAGGATAAATAACACGGTATAAAGCCACACAGATTTGAAAAAGTCGCCGTAGAACCAGTTCATTTCACTGTGGTGACGATTCAATCGCGTCATCAACCGATTTAACGAAGGGCTAACGCTCGAAACGTGACATATTGCAAACATAAAGATAAGAAAAAACAGTTACTGGGCTTTGCCACAAGAGCCTTACTTCTCTACAGTTACTAAATAACTAAAGCTGATAAAAACCGATTGACTAGAAAAGATTTTCAATCGCACTTACCAAGTTGTTGACAATGTGGCTGATACTTTCAAAATGAAACGACAAAAATACTGAATTACTTTTCTAACCTTCCGAACTTCCGCTGTCACAGTGTTTTAGGTATCCAGATCACGTGTGTTTAGGTTACTCCCTTCTCCGTCTATCGCGTCCTATTTAGGTTGAAATTTTCATCAATTAGTGGTCATATGATAAAATGCTCATTGACCGAATTTGGTGCGGAAAATATCTGGCTCGGAGTCATGAAGAAAAGACCTCGCTGCGTTCGGTCCGTTGGTCATGATCCCGAGCCAAGTATTTTTCCGTCCGGCCCTACCACTCGATCAACAAGTGCACAGTATTTCGGTTTTATAAGTCACACTTTTATCACTCATGATGTAATTGAACATGAAAAATGAAAAGTGTTGTTTTTTTTTTAATAGTAAATGTCAGGCTTTAGTGTTTACCCCTTTGAAAGGTTTGATTTTCATCATTAGATCGATTACAGTACAACCTAAGTTTTCTCCCACCTGTCATGCAATTCTGACTCTAAGCGGGCAAATAAACCTATGTATGTAAATAAACCTATATATGTTATAGCTCTTTATACACAATGATTGATTAAGGAAGCTAATAAATGTGAACAACTTTTGAGATTTTTTGTTAAGGAATGGAAAATTTCACGTCGAGAGAGATGCGTGTAGGCGAAATGTTGATGGGAAAATCATAGAGTTTCTTTCTTCTGTCGTTTATTACTTTGGAGATTTACTAAAATCAGCAAATGTGGCTTTTGTACGGCACAAAACATTCATTGGTCTATGATTTGTTTACTGCTCATAGCTAAAAATATTGACGCTGTTGGGGATCATTGCGTGATAACTGACCAATGAATTCGTTCCGCGCGACGTGGAGTTTTCAATAAAATCTCGCTCAATCAATGGGTGGGTAATGAACTTCCACTAAGCTTTGGAAGCATTTATCCCACAAAAGATTCACACAATTTTTACCCGGTAGAGGTTTCACCAAAATAATTCACTCAACAAATTTACATTGTTACGTTCTGTTTTATACCACGTCCCATTCCACTAGCTTTTGTCTATTCTTTGGTGAGGTTTCCGTTTATGGAAATTTGGTCTGAATTTGTTGCTGTTCATGACACAAAGCTTGGAAGTTATAAACTTTCTTCTGACACTTTATTTTTGGCCGGCAGCTAGCGAGTTTAACGATCTCAGTGACGCAGTCTTCATTTAAAGGACGAGTTCTATAGAATGTTTGTGTCTTTGAAGATGCAAGCTGGCTATTACATAATAAGACCCCATTTACATGGTCTTGGGTACCACAGACAATCCTCCCCCCGAGTTACCCTGGGCGAGCTAACTATTCACTTATTTCTTATAAAAAAATTCAGCCAACCGTTTACATGAAGTTATAAACTCCTCTCAGGTGCGCAAGACAACTAGGGGGGTGAGGCGGGCAACTTTTCCTCATGTAAACACCTTGTCTCGCCGACCCGAGACGAGAAAACTTGAACATAAAATGCGTGCGCACGCCATGACCAGGATGTTTACAGATATTTTTTTTCCTGCCGTCCACCATTTTGTCAAATATGTAACCTGGCCGAACGAGGGTCAGCAGACGTTAAATTTCATGTAAACACTTTGTAAAGTTGTTTCAGGAAGAGGGTTATCTCGGGTACCCGAGACCATATATATAGGGCCTAAGAGTCCGGAATGCCACAGATCTTCATTTATTCCAATTTTTGCAGAATGTTCTCGAGAGAGTGACGTTGACTCTAATTGCATCTCTTCTGGCCATGAATTATACGAGAACATAAAATTATTCATTTATTACTCATTTTTGTTTGTTTGTTTGTTTGTTTGTTTGCGTCTGAAACGCCTCGTCTTATTTTTCTCTCTCGTATCAATGAAGTTTTTTTTATGATAGTGTTTGTCTCACATTTCAGAAAAGGGGATTAAATCACTTCCCTGCAAATTACATTTTTGAACTGAGTGAGGTCTGAAACATTACCAGATTGCAGTTTTTTCAGAAAGATTAAACAACATTCCGTATTAGTTTTGATATTACTCAATTCCTGTTGAGTAACTCTACCAATGACAACTTTACTGAATTAAGATAACTTGAATGTCCATGTTACTTCTTTTACCGCAGAGGTGAGGTAAAGATCCACCACTTTTTACGACTCCGAGGTAAATAATTGTTTTCGTATATACCACACAAGTACCAAAAAATAACTGTATTTCTGTCAATACACCAAAGACATGTTCTGAAACTAAACTCTCGACGGGCGGTTTTGTCTCTTCAGCTGCTTAGCTTTGAAAAGAACTTGCCAATCATTGCCAGCCAATCAGGTTGCACGAAAACCACCTCTCGCCCATTGGTATATACTTTGTGACCGAAAATGGACTTTTCCGTCTATCTTAAAGCTCTTTAAGACTTCTCCACTACATTCTCAGGAAACAATCTTGTCTCACACAAGCGTTTCTGTCTGAGCAAATTCCTCGCATCCTGTTCATCTACATCCTCGTTATTTTTTCTAGTCCTTTTTTCTTTCATTTGTAGAAAAATCCTGTGACACAACGTATCCAGTATGCACCCGATCATTGCAATGGTGAGTTGCAACAAGAGTCCACTTAGGTCTTCTACCTAAAGTTGGGCTGGAAGAGTTTCTCTCGGGCATTTATATTTTGACACCCAGAATTCTTGGATAAAGTTCGTCAGTCCCTTAGCTTTAATCATTTGAAGAGCTTCTGATACTTGGAAAACAAAGGATTGTTCTTTTTAACAGCAATGGATACTGCAGACATTGCAAAAGGTTCACCGACAACTCTGAAATCGCAATGAGGATCATTCCTTGATTCGTATTCCAGGCCCACGTGATTTACGATGAAAACGCCCAGACTCCTGTTCATAAAAATCAAGCAAGATGATGTGACATTTGTAATGTTGTTGTTGTTGTTGTTGTGCGTATGTTGTGTTTTATTTTACAAAATGAATTTTTTCTCTAATTTTGTTCCAAGTTTAGAAAATCAGCAACCACACACAGAGCTTGCATGCTTGAGAGAGCTGAAATAAAGATGATCAAAACAAGATTTAACTGAGATTTTGGATTTGAAGATTCTTCAACTTGTAAAAGCACACTCCATCCGAGAACGTAGTCACCGTAGCCCAGAGTGGAAAGTGTAGCGAACCATGTGTAAAAGCTTTCTACAAAAGTCCAACCTTCCACGTACACTCCTTCTAATCCACCGAGACAAACGGTCAGAATCATGAGAGCAAATGTCACAAAAACACTCTTCATCTTAACGTTTCAAGGTCGTGTCCTGTTAAGAAACTTCGTCTCGATTGCGTAAACGAAGTCATAAACCAGTTTGGAAATCATTTTTCCCATTGTCTTCAGAGTTAGCATCGTCAGAGGAACACCAAGAAAGGTATATAAAACAGTGACGATTTGTCCAAGTGGAGTCTCTGGTGTAATGTGGCCATAACCCGAAAGAGGCAAAGTGAAATGGTTAAGAAACCCTACGGCCTCTTTTATTTCATGTTAATTTTAGGCTTTTTGATCACACTCCATTAAGATTGAACTGACTGACCAAGAGAGATTCGCATGAATCAAGATGTGAGTAAAAAAAAACTTAGTTTTCACGGGCAGGGTACACCCTATGCGGATTTACTTGGAGCAATGCCTCCCAAAAAAATTGAAGTCGGCTTTGAAAAGCTTGTGCAACTTATTTGTTTAGTTTTGTTCATGTACTGATGAGTGCAAAGTTGTGAGACTAGTACAAATTACAAATAGCGCACACGCTGTCAAAATTTCGTGTGTCTTTACTTTCGGTGATGCTTTTTTCTTGTTTATTATACCCATTTTGAAATCACTGGTGGTCCCTGTAATATGATTGGTTCTAATTGATGCGATTTATTCACGAATCGCACCAGTTTTTGCTTTAAATCGCATCTTTTTCCCAGCCAATGAGGAGGCTAAACTAAAAACAAAACAACCAATCAGATTTTAAGGCTTGTTTAAAGTAACCGATCAAATTGCAGGAAAATGAAAGACAAAGAGTATCATGTGGCAATTTTGCAACTTTTGTTTCTTAACTCTTACTTATTCCCCCCAAAAAATGGACATGAATTTAATTTCAGATCGGCTCAGTACTCCATCAATAAAATATTTGAACTGACCAAGTCCTGTATTTAGGCGATTTCAAAATGGGTGTAATAAAGTGGTAATTGAATCTCTTCTCGTTCAATTTTGGTCTAAAATCATACTTGTGATTTCAAATCGAACGAGCACTGCGTGCTCGTTAGATTTTGAAATCACGCGTATGATTTAAGTCCAAATTGCGCTCCACTCAGTTCAGTTACCGTTATGAATAATTAACAATTATCACATAAACTGCGGTGTTATACAAGGATTTCCGGCCCTGAGAAAAGCCCTAACAACACGTGAAAAAATATCGCTCGCTGTGCTCACTCGTGAGCTATCGAGTTAAACACGAGAAGAGAAATTCCATATCCACGCACGCTCATGTATTATTCTCTATTTATAAAATTTTCAGAGAAATGCGCGCGCCGTGATTGATCAGAAGGAGTTCATTATTTAACAAATAGAGAAGCCTCGACTGTGCTCTGTTCTGTTATAAAGCACGCAAATCCGTCGTTCTCCATATCAAACACTCGCCTATTACAGGAAAGTGCATCAATAAAGTCAACTGCTCTCGATCGAATTGACTGCTACAGAGTTCGAAGCGCCCAAATATCCTGGAAAATTGCCATTTCCTCCCATCAAAAAAGTTCCCAACGCGCCAGAATATCCCTTATTTTCCATGTTGAGTAAGTGACGAGACGCCATGTTGAAAACTATGACTGAAATAGTTAAACACGAGCAACGCTGATCTTCGAATCGTCGGCCATATTTGTTTATGTTCTTGCAGGGAAATAAATTAGTTCTCGGTCCTTTTCGGAATAAAAATATGCCAGGCATTGAATGCAAATTCAGTAGTCTTAGCGCGAAAATTAAATTAAAGCAAATCAAAATTCTGACATCATGTCATCGCTCTGCCTCGAAAAATCCCAAAGATTTACTTGCAGGTCTTCTTTTCTTTTTCTTTTCATCAAATAGAAGATCTGCGGTGCTCAAATTGTATAAGTCATGGTACGAAACACTCTTCTTTGCAGATCGAGCCGTGATTGCCGCCATATTGAATTCTCTTGATATTCTATTGTTCCCGGGTGTAATACGATATACCGCTGATAATTGTTAGCGGGCTCGAAATGTCCTTGATTTCTGGCGATGAACAGAACAGAGCACAGTCAAGGCTTTTCTATTTGTTTTATAATAGAGAATCCGTTAAATTCCCTAGGCATTACTTTCAATTTTCAAAACAAACTTTATTTCCAATGCGAACAACAATGTCGTCAGCATGCTCTATACTCTCATAAAGCACGCTACAATAAGCCAATCAGAATCCCTGTTAGAATGGTTCAAATAATCTAATTGGCTGTACAAGACTAAAGCTGTCAAAAGTGTCAAACCATCAAAGTTCATAACCATCAAAGTTCACATTCTGCGATAGTTTACAAACTAAAATAGTTTGGCAGGTCGAATTTAACACTTTCGCCTGAAGTTTTTAAGTCTCTAATACAGAATCTTGAAGTGAAATGTTCAGTGAACTTCAGCCGAATTATGGCACATAAAAACACGCGAGTTTTTTTCACATGACAAGGTAGAAAACAAACTGTGCAACTCCAAGGCAAGTGTTTTTTGAATGAACGACAGCCGAATTCACTGGAACATGAAGATCGCTCGGGATGACAGCGCCGCAAAACTCGGCTGCAGTGACTGATGTGACTTTCCACTCAACGCATCGGAAAGGATATCAGAGCAAGCTCTTATTTTTTCACTCGAAGGGCGGCCGATGTAGTTTCTGAGGCTTGCTTTTCTGTGATGACCGGAGATCGCCATGATGAGCGAGCGGCGATGGACTTTTGCATGATCATATTCGCTCAGACACCGTCATGATTAGTATGAATTTTTAACAGTTATGCCAGTTTGGTTATATTTTTCATCAATTCTGTTTTGTTCCGTTTTGTTTTTGAACATTGAACTTTATATACTATACGAGTGTTAGCTGTGTTTCATTTTTATTACCGTACGTAAGTAAGCTTGCAATCTAACTGAGCGTGAAATTCTTTAAAACTCGGCAGCGTCTATTTTGTTTTTCCTTTGAGGATTTTCGTATCTGCTCACATTTTAATAACGTAAATTACGGCGCCTGGTATGTTTACAAACCTTTGTTTAGTTCTTCTGTTGCTACTTACTGGCTCGCTTGTTCCGAAATTTCACTTTCAATTATCGGAAAAAAGCTAAAAAGAAGTCCCGGAAAAGGTCGAACATAGTACAATTTGGCAGATGGCGTGACAGCTTTAGCTCAGCTCTATGCTCTATACTCTCATAGAGCACGCTCTTTCAGCCAATGACAGTGCGCTTTATATCCGAACTTTATTATAAATTTCCATAAAGCGCGCGCCTTACGTCACACGAGTGCATTGTTGAGATACAATGCACGCACGGTACCTCATCGGTACGAGTGCGCGCAATTCATGATACATTTTATAAAAGAAGTAAACAAACTTGTTCCTCGAGTATTGTTGAGTTATATAAGCACTTAGGAATTTTTAAGAACACTCGAGAAGTACGAGAAGCAATCGTCCTCGGTTCTTCTCCGCACCTCTCTCATGTTCTTAAAAATTCCCGCGTGCCTATAGAACTCGACAATGCACTCGGCGTTTTTTTTTCAAATTTTTTAGTTATAGCACGATCACTCGTGTCATTTGGTGTGAATAATAAGACTACAAATTGCGCTTGCCGCGCAGACTCGTGTAATTTTGTTACCTTTGAAAAATTTATTCATACTTAATGACACCAAATTGAACTCGAAATAATATTATTTCCTCTATAATAATATAGATGGAAAAATTACTCAGTTCTGATTGGTTAAGATAAATGCAGTTTTCAGGTAATTCAGCGCAGAAGAGAGTTAATTCAGTGCAGAAGAGGGTTAATTCAGTGCAAAGAAAGAAACAAATCAGACATTCTGATTGGTCAATAATCAAAGAAAGTCACAGATAGCCAATTAAATGCGAGCCCTGGATGTCGCAACAAAATTTGAAGATTTGAAAATTTGCGAGCGAAACAATGGCCGGCGTTTTAAGTAGTTTCTTTCGCCACCGCGGCTGAAAAACAGCTTAAACAACGAAAACACTGTAAAAAGCACTGCTTTTTGGTTGTCGGTTTGGAATTAGTGGTGTTTAGAGAAGGGAATTGCCGAGGAAATCGAAAATTACGAGCCGACCCAGTTTAACACTTTGCTTGAGCGATCCAACGCCGAAATTAAAAACAAACAGGGTAAAACCTCGGAAACGACGAGGGAAGAATTGATGAAGTCTGGATCTGGGGACGATGTTCTCACAACTACACACATGCTAGTCAGCGGTATCTTCAGACAGCTTACGACTTTCTTCGTTGTTCTTTTTTGTTGTGACTAGATTTTTGAAGATAGGGAGTGTTTTCTTCTTCAGATGAAGTGCATGCTGTCAGCATCAGTTGAAATTGTATCCTATTGAGCGTGACTTATAATTTCGGTTTGGGAAAATGAGCCAAAATTGAAAGAAACGACAGTAAACCACTTTGCGTTAAGACATTCCTGGTGGATTGAGGTGTATACGTGCAGTGAGCACGGTAAGTCAGTAAAACTATACGCCAGAACAGGTATGGGCTTCTCTTATATCTTCTCTTGAAGTTGCCAGGTATGAGTGCTTACCCCACCGTTTTTCCCCAAAGTTTCAACCTCCTTGAAAATTGAAAAAAAAGTAATTTCAACTCGTGTTTGAACCTGTGTAATTTTTGAAAACTTTTTCGCTTTGGCTACTCTTGTTTCATGTTTCATGATTGTCCTCTGGCTGGAAATAAACGACGTCTTTTTGAGATTTTTTCTGTTAGTTAATTCGATAACCTCTGCTGTAACTGCATGTAATGTGGGTGTCTTTTAGAAAACTTGAGCTGATACCTGGATTTCATTTTTACATCACAGAAATCAATTCCAAACATCAATCAAGTTTTCTCTTAAGTTTAGAAGTTGAGTTGATGTTGTTATTGGCTATATTAAATAGGTTGAAAAGTTTTAGATGGTATTTTCTTAGCCACGACACCAAATAATAACAAAGGGATAACAGTCAGTTTTTGCTTGTATATCATTAACTAGTAATACGTAATTTTTCTCGTGCAATTTTTCAAACGCAAAAAATTGCACCCGCCCGAAATTTGGTTAGCCTTTAAAAATTTACTCGAGCAGATCTATTCCAAATTGCACTCGAAATCAAGCGATTACCTGCCAACCACACACTAAATAAACCAGTTGAGATGTTGGAGAAAACGACAAAAGTTTGTTTACAGTTTTCTCTCGTTCTCTCAACATCTCAAGTACAGTATTCACGGCGAAAAAAATCTGCCTTTCAGATTAAGATCTTTCATATGGTATATTTCACTCTTCTTGTTATTGTTCGGCCTTAAACCATCTCATTATTATAGGAAAATGTTATCTATTTGTCAACGCCAACGGTAAAAACAGATTCCAGTCTAGCTACCTCATCTCCTTAAATTGCTACAAATGATCATTAGAAAAACACTTTGCATTTAAATCAGGTGAAAAAGATAAATTTAATGAAAGAGGGATTTTTTTTTCCAAAATATTTAGTTACTTTCCGATGAGTGCTTCTGTTTTTCATTTTGTTTGTATATCTGTCATTAATTTTCTAAAGCAAAGTAAGTTTTGGTTTGATTTTGATTTTTGTTTATGCTTTAAT